TCTTTGTCCGGTAATATCATTCAAGACCTTTTGGGATTCATTTATTTAAATGTTTGTCTGTTCAGGAGATGGAAGGTGTCACTTTACTTTTTCTTTACACATTTAGTGACTTTTTAAAAAAAAAATTGCACTTGACAAATACTCCATAAAAAAAAATATACTAAAACCAATAAACACTAAGCTAAAACAAATCATTTTGCATGAAATATAAAACGAATGAAAACTAAGAAAAAAACTTCATTCAAAAAACAAGAAAAAACAAAATAAAAACTAACTAATAAAAATCTAAACATATATTAATCCTGATTCATCAAATATTTAAATTACAACTGAATGGGCTGACAAAATCATAATTTGTTTCTATCTGAACAAGTATGAGAATATAAATAGTTAAAAAGGACAAAACGACAGAAAGGGACCAAAAGGAAAGATACTTTAGACTTAAGAAGGCACATTTATCAATCGCTGTTCAGTCGGCAACATTTACCAGTAGGCAGTGACCGCGGTACTTCCTCTTATTTGAAACCAATGTTCCCCACTTCCGGTGCACTACTCAAAAGTTACTTTGCGAAAGTGTTGGGCCATCTCGGCCAAATTGTTAATGAAAGTCCATAGTGAAGAGTATTTTTGTTTGTTTGTCAGTGAGCAGGCTACTTCCTGATTCAGAGGATTTTTACGCAAGCTAGCTGTTAGCGTAAAACGGGTGAACACTTCCATTAATCCTGTAGTCACTCATATGAGAGGCCATAGTGAAGAGTATTTTTGTTTGTTTGTCAGTTAGCAGGCTTCTTCCTGATTCAGAGGATTTTTACACAAGCTAGCTGTTAGCGTAAAACAGGTGGACACTTCCTTTAATCCTGCAGTCACTCACACATTGAAAATTAATTCCTTAATCCAGGTCCTCAAATTTCAGTGGTTTCTTCCTTGAATTATATGCCATACCTGCGTAAATCTATTTTGTTCTGAAAAAGTCATGAAAACAACAAAGTGAAGTGTGGTCTAAAAACGTTTGTACAGGACAGTATTAACTTCACAATTAAGATGACTGAAAAGACGAGCCTGTTAAGACTGTGAAGATTTACGTGTATTTTGTCTGTTATTTCCCATTATTGATCTAGAGAGCACCCAGAGTATTGCATCAGACTTGAAGCTGGCTGGTACAATGCTGCGGTAAATGAAGATGGAAGCTGCTGATATAGCTGTGTTCAGTCAGGAGGATCCACATTCCTCCAATGGCTCTTGCTTTGCGTCATGCTCACATGCACGAGAAACCCCCAGGAGGTCCGACAAACTAATTAAGTTTGTTTTAATGAGTTTTTGTCCAACATTTGCGGTGATTTGATACCGTTTGTGAATGTGTCAAAAAGTATGACGGTTTTTCACAGTTTTTGACGTCCAAATCAACTTTGGAACAGGAATCAGTGGATGCACGGTGAGAGAATAAGCAAGCCGAAGATTCAACGGAAAGGAAGGAGAGCATTGCAAAAAGACACACCTCAATTCCAGTGTGGATACTTGACCTTTATCTTTTTTGAGTACTCAGCATTGCCATGGCAACTGTACTCTCCGCTGCCAGCTTAGAGGGTTCGTCTTTGTATTACCTCATCATCAGACACATTTTAGCATTCATCCGTTGTTGCATTTCTTCCAAAAAGTCACTGCTTCCTTTCCAAATAAAATGATGAAATATTTTCGGAGAGAGCAAGTTGATTAATGGGGAAGACAAACAGAAAGGACATTGTTTGTTTTTTGAAGGGCTTTGCGGGACCTGGCTAAGACTCGAGATGATAGTCTGATAGGCTGCCGCACAAACACAGAGCTACTTGCTCTCTGTAATCTGTTACAGATTAGCACAGTTCATTACACAGCTCACTGCCCTTGAATCTAGTGCAAAAACACGATTTACGCCACGCGAATGAATGCGTCTTTTGCAGCTGGATTGCGAAATGTTTCTCGTTTCTGAACAGGTTTCAATAAAAGTTGGAAATACTGCGCATTATGCATCCAGTATGAGTTTCCGTTTCCCTTCCAGCTCTGTTTTCTTACAATGAAATCGGTTCTACCCGTCATATTTTTTGGGTGGATGTGTGGTGTGAGTTTATCTATGTGGCGCACACAAATTTTAAATTGCGTCCGAAAGAGAGACTCCACCATCTGGCGTAGGAATCCCCCCCCCCAACCCCCACCTCCCTTCCACGTGGGAGGCTGCTCGTATGCCCGGGCGAGCTCACATACTTCTTCTGGCCTAATTACTGAAGAGCACAGATAAATTTGGGAGGGTATACTGATAAACACTGTGTCTCCTCCCTGATACACTGCCGCGTTCAACGTGTATGGATGACAACAAGATGTCATCATCATGAGCTAGAACGCTGTATTTTCTCACTTTATCTGGGCATCGGTCTTAATAACTATATCAAAGGTTTATAGAAGGAACATATAGAATCTGATCTAATCCCTGAGCCTCCCCGTCTGCAGGTGGTTCTCTCTGGGGACCAACTCAAGCCTTTCTTTCTTTCACTCGCTGTAGGTTTTGTGGCCATATTGTGGCAGGTGAGAGAAGGAAGAGTTTACCAAAACAACTAATTCATTCTCCCATGCGCCGCTGCACACTTTTGAGGCTGTGTAGATTTCTCACATTGACTTGTCACTCAAGCACCATCGTGGAATGTACGCACTCTGTGTCCAGTGACCTTGAAATATGTGCGCAAATTCTCCCAGAGATTTAAGCATCTTTTGTCTCGGGGGGGGGGTAGCAAGTACCGAATGCAAAAACGCACACTTCTTCAAAGTAGTCTGTGGATGAGCTGCACATACGGCATTGGTGAAGATCAGTATAACTTCCGGATGCACAGCGCAAGTAATTTCATATTTGAAGTGTGACATGATTTCAAATGGATCTCCACACAGTAAATTTCGTGGAGTACATTTTATTCGAAAAATTTGACAGAAATTTTTTTAGTGATATTTACATACGTACATAAATAAAATAAACAAACAAATAAATAAATTCTAAGTAAATTTTACAAGAAGGATTTTTGAGTTAATTTTACTTGCACGGGATAAGTATATATTAAAAAAAAAAGTCACTGAAGTGTTGAGGAACGAAACCACAACCTTCATGCCACTCCTGGTGTGAGTAAGTATATCGCTGGTGTAATGCGGAATACTTGTTCCTCCGAGGTGGGTTCTTTTGGAGACGCTAGCGATTAACTCACAGTAAATGTTCAAGTAAATGTCACTCAACATTTGTTTGTGTTGAAAATTGACTGAATATTTTAGGTCAAATTTTACTCCGTTTAGACTTGGACCAAATATAGTCTTTAGAGTAAAATGTACTGTACGAAATTCACTTTGCATGGAAAATTCACATCTCGGGAAGAACATACGGCGCACCTGCCCGAGTATATTACATGTTCTTTGAAACAGGATGTCTTCCCCCAGCTGACGACGCCAAGCCATGCCTATGCTGAAAATAGCAGGGCCAGCACCATAGTGAGGGAACCTGATGACCCACTTGGTGATGATCTCCGTTGTTAACCTAAACACTCCTCTCCGCAGATCACGATTTGCATGCCGCTCCTCAAAGTAATTTATTGCAGAGACTCCAACGCAAGAGCCTCCAGGTCAGGTTGTACAAGGTCAAGCTCGGAAAGATCACAGGCTGCCAGCTTTTTAAAAAAAAATGTTAGTCATGCCTCCATTTCATTTTCGGGGAGTTGTGTTGCAATCCCCAGCTGTGTTTTGTCGGAGGACAGGAGCGCTACCAAGCACACAACATTGCACATTGTATTGTAATGATTCTTGCAAGACTTTAATTTTGGTTGGATCGCCAGTGATGTTATAAATCTGTGTACAACGGTTTGATGTTGCTGATGATTTTTTTTTTCCTACTTTGAATTGAATTAACTTGAAGAGTTTGGAGGTGGCCCAGTGGCTCAGTGGTTAGCGCGTTGACCTCATAGTTCAATTCCAGCTCCGGCCTCCCTGTGTGGAGTTTGCATGTTCTCCCCAGGCCTGTGTGGGTTTTCTCCGGGTATTCTGGTTTCCGCCCACATTCCAAAAAAAATACGTGGCAGGTTAATGGAACACTCAAAACTGTCCCTTGGTGTGATTTTGAGCGCCAATGGTTGTTCATCTCTGTGTGCCCTGCGATTGGCTGGCAACCGGTTCAGGGTGTCCCCTGCCTACTGCCCAAAGACGGCTGGAATAGGCTCCGTATTGTTACATATTAATAAACAGCTATCCTACCAGATGAAATCAAATTTTAATCGTGCTGAATTTAATCATTTGAATCATTCAACTTGACAATATTCTGGTTTTGAATGGTATTTTACCTCATGTCTTGAGATGCATATCGAATCGTCTTTTATTGGAGAGGTGAGGACCCCTAACATCCATCCATTTTCTATATTCATTATCCTGTTCAGGGTTGCGGGGAGCTGCCATGCGTGACTATACTGTATATGAATTACAGTGTTTTCTGTATTTTTACATTTGGTCCTTACATTTTTTTTTTCTTCGGGACACACTAGAAAAACGCATGTCATGTCAAGAGATGTTCACGTCATTGTGTAATGAGAGCAGTGCATGCAATGGGAATTTTCTTCATTTCTGCAAAAAGGTGCTTGGGTGACAGAAACAGGCTTAAGATGCCTTCCAAGACCTTGTGGGTTCTCACACTGCATGGCGGTTACAACACTGCTCTTCATCCGTGTGTTTTGATCGGAGCCGTCGGCGATATTTAATCTCACGGAGGTGCCCGCTGAGGTGGCTCGTTGTGTGTCGCGACATTAAAACGCAAATTGTTCAATTATCACAGGCCACTGCTAATGATGTTTGCGCCCATTATGGAAGCACTTGATCACTAAAGCGCTATTACTGCCCAGTGATTCTGGCTGCCGATCAATCATACTCATCCAAATGTCTTTGTTTTGTCATTTTCAAAATGATTGAAACAGCGCCTTCATCACATTGAAATCTTCCTCTCCTGTTTGCAGGCGTCGCACTTGACATCCAGAAGGATTTCGAGGTATCGGACAGCGTGGTCGCCTTGTTGCAAACAGGTATTTGTTCCTCAGCCTAAACTCATTGACTACATTGTGACCACTGCATAAGGCAAAAAAAAAAAAATGGTATACTGTATTTTGCTTTTGCGGTGGCAGCTGCAACCTCCACTGCCTGAAGTGCTAATTAGAAAAAGAGTCAGGTGCAGAATATGCTGCAGAAAACTAAACATGTTTTATAATGTGTCAATGCTGTGTTTTGGGTCTGGTTTTGGTTCAGGGGTTTTACTGGATGGAGCATGTGCACCATTCTCCATATTACTAGTTAGTGTTTCATCAGAACGGGCTGTGTTTTATAGCGGTCTTGTTTAAAAAAAAAAAAGTTCCATAATGTTGTTTTCATGGGGTGTTTTTTTGGAGCAGCATCGCCTCACTCAGCAGCAGCAGCAGCAGTAGTGCAAGAAAGGAAAACACATTGGAAATTGGGAGTCAAAGCAGGCTGAATACTGACATGCATGCAACCCTTAATATGTGTGCACCTCGGTTTAGGGCAGGGTTTCCTCCCATCCCGACCCTAATGAATCCACCTTTTTAGGGAGATACCATGCAAAGCCCTCTTATTGGAGGACAGGAGCCAGTCTTGTCTCAGTGTGGCCGCCGATTTATTTCAACACCATCACTTGGGTACACAAAGCTCCATTGAGGCCTTGCAGTCCAGCTTGCATTTGTAAAAGAATACAGCCCAGTGTTTCCTCCCTTACTTGATGTTCCTCGGCTAACCAAGGGTGACCTGAATGGTGTCTTAAAGACAAAAATATCCTTCAGGAAAAAAACACTTAAGCCATGTCAGTTATTTTTTTTTCCAGTGAAAAAGCCATTTCATCACCTCCAAATCTAATTTTCACCCAACTCCATTTTAGAGTCCCGGTTTTCTTCCTTTTTTTCTTCCTTTTTTTATTATTGCTTTGCTGCTTGACAACTGACATTTTTTAAACCTTAGTCCAAGTTGAGTAAGTGTGAAAAGCGCAACGGCACACTACCTCACCAGCACATTTTGTACCACAAGACTTGGCCAAAATTTTGACAAGTAGCAGGAAACACGGGCAGGTTTTGACTCTTAATTCTGTTAGGACTGGACCATAATTGGCGTTATTGACACATCCACACTAGTGCACGCTCACTCACACACACTTCACATTGTTCATGAGTGAAGGGATGCCTGATTTGACCTCCACGTCTCTGAAAGTCACCCAGCCGGCACGGCTAAAAGTAGTAGACCTCCTTGTGTTGCCTGGCCTGTCTCGGCCTGTTGTGGCTCAGACTCCACTTGGACCTTGATCCCCAGACGACCTTTTCTCACAACAGACTGAGGAATGCTAGATGTCCAAACTGTGATCTGTGGGGACTGGTGGGTACAGGCCGGGAGCCTAAGTGTGAAGGGAAGGTTACGGAGTGATGTAATGAGTGAGGTTGGAAGGCTGACTCCCAGTGTGTGTGTGTACACAGACTCTACCTGTATCTGTTAGCAGTATTCTCATGTCCCTCTGGTTTATTGCTTCACTCTTCACCTAAATTCAGAGCTGCTCTGCCTTCTTTCCTCCCTCGTCGCCTCTGATATGGCACCTTCCACCCACCTAGGACCACAAACTACCAGCAGAGGTGTTCGAAAGGCTGTAGGTGGTGTCTTGCTTTCTCTGCTGGCAGGTCACCCTCAAACTTTGAAGAACCTGCTGAACTCTACAAGCCTAACTCAGAACAGTATTTGTTTAAAATGATTGGCAGCTGATTTTGTTGTGGACCTAATGTGACTGGTAAAGTTGAGATCCCAGAGATTTCTAATGATTTTGTCTTTATTCCAGCTAGAATGGAGTTGGTCAATTACCACCTTACTTTTTTGTTGCCAAAAAAACGGATGCATTGTGCAGTTTTTTCAGATCAAGTGTATTTGTTTAACTCTTAATCACCGAAGGGTTTCAGAGAGTCTAGTTTACCATGTTTGGGGAATTTGCCAGACTGCGTTACGCCTTACTTAGCGTTCCAACAGACCGAGGGCATTTTAAAAAAATTACGCGCCCCAATTTGGTGACAGAACATAGACTAGATATTAGACCAGCGAAAAGCAGGTCTAAGTTGTGGGTGGCGCAATGTGGAGCCATCAATTGTGATGGCCCTTAAGGTGCAGGCAGACATATTCTCAGCTCCCGACATGACGCTGTATTCCATTCGTAAATATGACACCAGTGTGGGACAGTCGCTCTGAACTGTTGTCGAAAACTATTCAATGAATGCATTTTTATTATTAATATCATAATTTCAAAATTATTTTTGTAATCACGCTGATCTCCTGCATCTACATGCCATGCACACCGCGCACCTCTCTCTGTGCTGACTTGAAATGGAATGAGGGGAGCTGCTCCAATTGGCTGGTATATGGATGGCGTTCTCCAAACACCCCCTTCTACCTGTTCCCGCCTAGTAAATGTTGAAAGAAAGAAAATTCCACTCATGCGCGCAATTAGACTCCGCTTTGCGCTGGACTTGCGCTAGTTTTCGAAAGTAGAACCCATATATGGTGCTATACAGTCTTACCTAAAACAGCATAAGAATCCATTTCATGAGATGACATTGGTAAATGCCTTCGAGAAAACAGTTCTTCCGCAAGATCTGACCTGATTGGTCAATGCAGAATCCTCCACAGTCACGCCTCAGGGGAAGTCGTCTGCTTCAGATCTTGTCAGGGTCGGTCAGTGCTTAATCTATACAGCAACAGCCTCGGATTCAATCATCACCACCGAGCTCCCCACTCCAAGGAGGAAAGGAGGGAGGCAGAGAGGGGAAGTGGCAATAAAACAGCCCTATGTATCGATGAACTAAATGCCATTGAGTAATAATAAGTCTGAAATCAGGATTTCAACATTTCTCCTGAGTAAGCGGCTGTAATTTATGCTGGAAGGGCAATCGGAGTATTGGAACATGGATATAGAGAATGCTCTGAAACCTGCAGGCTTCTTTTTGTCTGTTGGAGTCACCAGTAGAACAGTATGCTGCGAATGTAGTTTTTGGGATGAACATATAGTGAGACATATTTCCTTGTTTAATGTGACATTAAACTGTTATTCACATCTGTTCCATAAATCCAAATGTATTTTTGGCACTAATGAATAAGAGGCTGTAGTTTCTCGGGACTTGGGTTTTGGACGGAGGGAAATTGCCACTGGTTCCTACAGGATGGATGGAGGACTGTTGCCTTCCGAAGCATTGCCAAAGTGCCCTTGAGCAAGACACCAAATCCTCAACTCTATTTGCATGCGGTGAGATGATCCCCTGGGTAGTTGCGTCTTCGCAGTTGCCATTAGTCGTTATAGTCCACACTTCAAAAACAGCTTAGACAGCACCTATTGACAAGAGATGTGCAGCCTTTGTTACACCGGGGGGGAGGTGCGGGCTCAGTTCTCTTGTGAGAGGGTGAGGTGTGCATCGCTGTCAGTTAAAAACTTGAAGTTAAGCCTGGAGCTCTCAGGCCCATCCATCACAATGCCGCCGAGACGCTCTCACCTGAGCCCACCGGACTTGTCAGACAACAGCACGACCTCTTAGCTCCCCTGCTGAAAATGGCAGGTCTGCTCTAATGGCCCTCCGGCTGCCTGGGGTGAGTGACGCTCTCGCACAGCTGTGAACTGGACTAGTCCCGAGGGCGTGGAGTGCAGGCAAGGTTAATGGAAAAGGTTGTTCACCTGGATGGTATGACTTTGGTTCGGGGAGTTTCGAGATCAACCAGACGAAGACAATTGAGAGTTTTCTTTCGACACAACGCCTGAGGGTATGCAAGAAGTGCTTTGAGGCAAATCCAAACTCAAGTCTTAACAGGATTAATTTTAACGTCATAATGTAAGCCGGCGATGTAATTATCCACAACTGGGGGAGCATGGAAGCAATATCGGGGTCAGCTACGCTCGATGCAAAGAGACCTAATGAGGAGCCGCTACTCAAAAAAGCTCACACACTGCCTGTGCCCCATTCTGTGTGTGACTGACCACCTTGTCTGTAATGTAACACCCAGACATACGCGCTCATTTACACACACACACGCACACACACAACACACACACAAATGACATGACAGCCCTCCGCTCATAACATGGTGTCAGTCTGTCATTGGGAAGCTATGTGAGCCAAAGGAATGAGGCCACAGGTGCTGCGGGAGACTGACGACCCGAGCGCTGCCAAAATATCAACACATAGGCACCGTTTAGAGACTGTTTTCAAGTGGAAACGGATAGATGGAAATGACTTATTAACTGTTTAGGCTGCAGAATTTTTCAATGAAATGTTCCCTTTTGGTGTGAGTATTTCAAAAGGTTGGAGCTTGAAAATGGTTCGAGGTAAAGGCATGCTGTAAATGTTGCTTAGCAACATATGATGACAAAAGATATTCAGAATAGATTTTCAATATTCAGAATAGATTTTCAAGGAACAACTGCAGGGGCTAGCGATTAGTGTCCATCGTGTTTCTTTCCAAAAAAAGCATTTTTCTTTGAAGGTTTGTGTGAAATCAATCAATAATAATTCAATGAGGCAAGCAAATTGGAGGAACAATTGGCATGTCTGCCTTAAAGGCTGTGTTCACACTGCAGGTCACTTCCATACTTTTTCCCCTCAATTATCTTGGATATTTTTTGGGGATCAGATCTTTTTTCCTGCAGTGTGAACAGTACAAATCCGATTTTTTCAATGTACCCTATTGGCCCGAATATAAAACGGCCCTGATTATAAGACGACCCCCTCTTTTTCAAGACTCAAGTTTGAAAAAAGACTTTTTGAACACCAAATTCATTTTTATACAGAAAATAATTACAGTACATCTGAAACAAATGATTCTAACAATATATTTAAGAGAAAAAGCATGTCATTTTTCCTCATTCAAATATTAATATCTGAACATTTAAATATGTAAACTAAAGTGCAATCACATTCGTAAATGAATGGCTTTTGATTTTTGAAATGTAAATTACATCATAACTTCTTCTCAGCTGCCGGTTAACCTGGCTGATCTTCGACCC